CTCTCTCTCTCTCTCTCTCTCTCTCTCTCTCTCTCTCTCTCTCTCTCTGTCTGTCTCACTCACTCACTCACTCACTCACTCACACAAAACCACTCTCTCTCTCTCTCTCTGTGTCTCACTCACTCATCACTCACACTAAACCACTCTCTCTCTCTCTCTGTGTCTGTCTCACTCACTCACATACTCACTCACAAAATTTACGCAGGTCAAGTCGGGCATGGAGACGGCGGCCGCCTTCTTTGAGTCGCGCCGCTACGCCAGCATGCTTGGCGCCACGACTGAGTTTGAGAAGCAGGAGGGCATCGCCGTCAGCCAGCGCCACAACAAGCTGTGGTTCACGACCAGCGCCATCCGCAACGGCATGACCAACTCGGCAGCGTACAACTTCTGTGGGTGCCTTGCTTGATTGCTTGCTGGGAGCGGATCAAAGCGCCTGCACGAACGAAACACACATGCGCATTGCCTGGAGCCGTAAGCGGCCGCCTTGATGAGTCAATGAGGTGCTGTACCCTCAGTGCAAAGATTTTGCGCCCGCAAGCTATCTCCCTCTGCCACGACCTGCCCTGCGACATCTGATTTCATGCCCGCCCCCTTCCCGCACCCCTGGCTCCTGCAGTGCGCAATGACATTGACCTCCCCCAGAACCTTTGCGGTGGGGTGATGGAGGTTGATCTGGACAAGACGTGGTCAGGCAACAAGATCAGGGTGAGAGGCAAAGAAGGGCTGGTCAAAAGATAAATGAGTGTGTGGGACCTGTACTCAAAAAGCGCAGACTGTGAGACAGGGACAGGGCATAGTGAAAGCCAGTGAGATCGCGGAGCAGCCGCTGCATTACGTCAAACGGCTATGCGCGCTCGCCAGAGCTGTACACCTCTGTGGTTCGCCGTGTGAAAAAGTGCAGCAGCCCGGCTGATTTATCTGGTCCCACGGGCCAGTCGCAGTCACTCTTGCACAACCTTGCCGCTTGTGGTGCAGATGCTGCTGACTGGTGACACCACCGCCAACACCAACGCCAACAACACATGCAACCTCAACAACATCTCCGAGCCTGGTCAGTGGGTCTTGTGGTGCTGAGGCTTGCTTGTGGTTTTCGACTCACAACAAAATAGCACACAATCATTGTACGTCAGTGTTTTGTTCACGCGCAATAGCAAGTGCACAACCACGGCAGCTCAACAACTCCGTCACTCGTCACCTTGGCCCGCCAGTGCGCGCGTGCAATTGCACTTGCAAAAGCACACACGTGCGCGCAAGCCCACATGCATGCACATGCGCGCACACATAACCATACTCATATGTGCACATGCGTCGTTCTGAAATGAACAGGTTCTTTCCCCCGACCCTACCCCCCCCCCCCTCGCAGACAACCTGTTCTACGTGGCCGGCAACCTGCTGATCCAGGAGGACACCGGCCGCCACGAGAACAATGTGCTGTGAGTAAACTGACGCGGCCCACGTCCAAGTGCAGCTCGCGGGTTCAGCGGCATACAGTCACGACTGAATAATCCAAGGGCTCAATCAAGGCTTCAAGCGGGGCCGCGGGGTTGCTACGACGGCACCTGGATTTACTCTTCTGGGTGCAAGCATGCAACGCCCATCAAACCACACATCCACACGTTATGCCAACTGCACATTGTTGGCAACAGGAGTGGGAATGCTGAAACTGCTTGTCACCTTTGCTGAACCCTTCTTGCATCCAAATTCCTATCTCCCCCCAGCTGGGCGTACAATGTTGACAGCGGCAGCCTTACGCGTGTGCTGTCTTCCCCGCGCCTTGCTGAGGTGTCGGGCCTGTGGTGAGCACAGGCTTCCAGCCATTGGGGTGTGCCTATGGGGTTGTGAGATGTCAGGACACAGGGGTGCACAACAGTAGCATTGTGACAATGGCGCACTTGTGGCCGCACTACCTGCCGCGCCGCTTCTAAGTCAGTGTGCATCATCCACCACGCGCCATCACCCTTCACAAGGTGTCCCTGCCGAACCATCACACTGAGGACTCCCCGCAAACTGTTCGCCATCCTCACAACAGGTCCAACGTCATCAAGAACTTCGGCTACCTGACCATGGCCTTCCAGCACCCCGAGGAGGACCTGCCCAGCACCTCCGCCGCCGTTGTCGAGTCGCAGCGCGGTTACATGGTGCGCCCACCTGCGCTCGCAGTCGAGTCGAGGCTCTGCCTGGACTGGGCAGCCTTGCGCCTGCTGCTTGAGGCGCACCTGCCGGTTGTCCGCTGCTGCCAGCAATCCCCAACAGTCAGTAAACAGATTTGTGCCAGCCGTCCCCAACAGTCAGTAAACGGATGTGTGTTGCGTACCTTTTTCTGTGTGCTGCACAGACATGCATCTCTTGCCAGGGTACTGCATAAATTCACCTTCCAACCGATCCAGCGCTCTGCATCATTAATCCGTGACCCCATCCTTCGAACTCCCACTGACGAGCCTCCCTGGATACAACTGTGTACAAACCTCGCCCCAGGGCTACCTGGGCCCCATCCCCAGCAAGTACCTGAACGACAAGTACACCCTGACTTTCACAGCTATCCCCGCAGCCGTGACGCCCGCTGAGAAGAGCGCGGTGGTTGCGAGCGCCAAGGTGTGCATCACGAAGGCCACCAAGCTCACCACCAAGAGTGGCCGCCGCCATTGATTATTCACAGTGCAAAAGGGGCTTGCCCCCATAGCCTGAGCCGGGCGCACGCGCGTGAATCACATGCGCATGCTCCGCTTTGCGCTCGACCGGCTTTCAAGATCTGCTTTGCAATGATCGTGTTGTTTGTCGGCGGATCCCCTTGCACCGATCGCCAAGGGTGCAGTCATGTGCGTTCTCGCTGCTCGAGAGCGGTACAACAACCACCAGCTTGTATTCAGGGGTGCGCCCAGCGCACGATGCCATGATTGCCTGATTTCAGGCAGCGCACTTTGCCGCCCTGAAGAGCGCGCAGCCCGCCGAGGGGGCTTGGCATGCTCGCGCGCGACCCAATCGCCAGAGTTTTGCCAATGCACTGGGAAGAACTGGTGCAGCCAATGCACTTGGTCGTATCAAAGCGCCAATCTGGCGCTCGTGCGTGGAGGCGCTTGCCCCTCACTCCTTAAGCTTGCCTGCAATGCTGTTTGAGTCGGCTGCAACTCTCCAAACTGGAGGCTTGGTCTGCCAACCTAATGTGCCCTCACTCTATCAAGCACCGAGCTTGAGCTATGTTTCGCCCACTTGTCACCAAAGGAGGGTGGCTTGCGCCTCACCCACCTTCGTTGAATGTGTTCACGTTGAGATTTTGTTCGCGGCCACCAGGGCTTCAATAAGGGCTGCTGCGTCGCCTCCAAAGCTGTGTCTCATGTGTGCCTGGTGTGTTCATGCGATTGATGATGTGTGAAAATCAGGTTCATGGCCCCCAGTTGTCAGATTTATTTGCCCGTCCTTATGATGGCTATGTCTGACACACTGTCCGCTGTTCTAGTGCATGAGGTGACTTGCTGCAATTTCGCCATCCCCTGATGCTGTGGAGGTAGAATTTTTTATCTACACGGCCCGAAGCGGCGAGATGGATCGCGAAGGATTATGCAGAGTTGCAGTGGCGTGTCCTGCCTCTGGCAGTGCAGGCATTGCTGTTTCAACTGCACTGACCTGAGCGTCCCCTGCAGCGATGCGTTTTTGCAACCAATTGCAACCCTTCCTGCAAGGAGTGAAGATTGAGGTGCATGCCCAACAACTTTCCGCAGTTGCAAAGTGCAGCAGCCTGTGATTGTGGCGTGGGACTCCAGAACTCACACCTATGTCACCCCTCGGTCCCCACTGTTGCCCTGCACAGCGGGCGAGGTCACCTGGTGTGGGGGTGTCTCAGCATCCAAAGCGGCTGGGTCACAAGAGAGTGTCAAGCTCGGACAATTCGTACCAAAAGCTCGTGTCCCACCGCCTCACACGCCTCAGCCATTGCTCATGTGCCGAATCGTACTGTGATGTGATCGAATGTCGGGTACCCGCCCGAGGTATCTGTGGGCGACGAGTGGCATCTTGAAGCGCTAGTAAAACGACTGGCATTTGGGCAAAGGAACAACGCTTGCGCGCACACCTGTTGAATGGACGCACTTGGTTTGCTGAAGCAGCTATGCCTCGCAGTGCGATAGTCATCCTGCTGTTGGCGGCTGCCACAGCAGCCGCTGCGGCTGCCAAGGACCCCGCTTGCCTTGATATTGGTAAGATGTTGTAACGCTGACGCTTCGTTTGCATCTGAAGGGGCCTCAAACTGCACGCCATGCATGCGACGCTCCCTCCTAATCCACCCCGCACACCTCATCACCCGCTGCACCCCCCACCAACACCCCCTCCATCCTCCACCCTTCAATTCTCTGCCTCACTGGCACCCAGGATGGACCACCCTCGCCCGCACTGGGCTGACCTACGGCTCTGGCATCTATGGGGCCGCCACTGCCAAGGACGGCAAGCGCGTGCTGGACATCGTGGCCGCCGACGTGGCTCTCCCCACCACGCCCACCTCCGAGCTGTCCTTCAACCCCATCGGCGCCATCCCTGCCACCTGGGCGCCTCCTGCGGTGCGCGCAGGCTCGCGCGCCGAGCGCTGCCGCGAACAGCCAGCGCAGCCTGAATTAAAGGGGTGACGCCCAGCAGTGCGCTGCAACGGCGCTGGCGAGCCCGGCCATTAGCGGCTAGATGCAGATGCAGACTGCACGCGCGGTGGAGTGCAACGCAGCGGCTACGCTTGTGTTTTTGCGCCGGTTCGGCTCAGCGCGGTGTGCCGTATATTTACACACGTCTCCATTCCCTCTGATTGAATGCACCGCGGGTGCTGGGGTTGACACCAGCGGGTCACCTGCTGCAGCGGCAGTTCGCACAGCCAGTGGGTCATTCCTCGACAGCCATCACTTTGTTGACCACTCCGCTCAGTCGTGCCTTCAGCTCCCACCCGCGCTTGCTCCCTGCGCCGAACCCCCTCTCCCTTGCGCCGGCTGGTGCAGGGATACAAGGCGACAGGGCTGGTCAGTGTCTCTCCCGACTTCGTCTCCTTCCACACCCGTGGCAGCAAGACCTTTGTCATCAACCATTTTGAGTGAGTCAGCTGGCTTGTGGCTTACATGCTCAGCACGGTGCTCTTTCAGCCCCATGTGTCCCCCTCTGCCTGAAGCCTCAACCTTCCAAGTCCCCCTCTGTCACTGCCCCATCACCCTGCACTGCCCCCGCCATCACCCTGCACTGCCCCATCACCCTGCACTGCCCCATCACCCTGCACTGCCCCATCACCCTGCACTGCCCCATCACCCCGCACTGCCCATCACCCCGCACGTTGCCAAGCCCCTCGGCCCATCACCACACCTGGACCCAACCAGGTACCCCCAGCCCAGCAAGATGTACGTGTCAGAGCTGTCCAAGCCTGATGCCAAGGGCACGATTACTGTGGTCAACACCAAGCCCATCGACGACACAATGGTGACTGGGCTGCTGATGACGGGTCCTGCAACACACGCATGACGTGCGACTGCATGCGCATGCGCGTACGCGCATGGGCCTGCAGCATGCGCACATTGTGCAGGTGCACGTCGGTCTCCAAGGCCCGCGCAAAATTGTGAAGGCTACTTCGTTGGCCTGCAGCAGCGGGTCACGCGACTGCTCCCCACCCCAGGATGCACACCTCCCCACCCCCAATCTTCTGAACCCTACAGGATAACGGCCTCATGTCCATGTGCAGTGGCTCTCTGTGAGTCACGCAAGCAAGCGCATGCACTGCCTTGCGCGGCTATCACAATATTGTAATGGCCGCGTGCTATGATTTCTCTGATACCAGCTGCCGGGCTGCATCAACTGCCTGTCCCAGAATCCCTTTGACATTAATTTGACAATAATCACCCGTACTCAAATCCTTATCTGCTCCCCGTACTATATCTGATTTTGCATCCAACAGGACACCATGGGGCACACACCTTGGGTGAGTACAGGTTGGCTAAAGATGTTGCACACACACACACACACACACACACACACACAAACACACACACGCACGCTCGCATACATGCATGCATACACATGCATGCGCTCGCACCCGTGCAAAACATACACACGCAAGCCAAACACAATTGCCACTGCACACGGTGGTCTTGACGGCAGCGGTCGTGAGCCAAGTTTTTGCAATGCAGCTTGCATGAACGAGACGGCATTGCCATTTTGCAGCAGCTTCACAGTGCATTCCAGCATCACACCGAGTCCAAAGACCAAAGGTGGGCCCTTGTCCCGCCCCTCCCTGCACCCACCCCTGCAGCGGCGAGGAGTACCCCCCGGACTGCCGCACCTTTGAGCAGCAGTTTGCGAATTGCATTACTCCTTCTGAGGCTACCCTGTGCGGCATGAGCCCGGGTGACACTGGCAGCGCTGGGAGTCTGCTTGACTTTGGCAGGTGGGTAGGCATCTTGAAATGAAGCAATGTGCTGAGAAAAATGTGCAAGGTCGCCACACACGGGGGGGGGGGACTGCATCCCCTGTGCGGGCAGTAGGTCGGTGGCCAGGACAGGTGGCATAAAACCCACGCGGCGTGCTGTGGCTCGTTGTGATCGTCGCGCACGCGCGTTTCTCAACCACTGGTACTCTGCCGCCACTGACTGTGGCGAACTATGCGCAGGTACTTCGGACTCTTCAGCCGCGGTGCCAGGTGAGAGGCCAGGGCGCCCTGCGCCTGCTGTTTGAGCGCCACACACGACCCCCTGGCCCGTTGCAGTCCCCAAATTTGGGCTCACGGCAGCTGCTCATGCTTGAGTGAAGAAGGGTTGACGCAAGCTGCCCGCGCCGACATGCAGCAAACCCCTGCACCCACCCCAGACCCATGCAACCACAGTGTATACACCACAACACTACATCCACTCACGGTGTGCCCACCCCTGCCATGCTCTTCGCGCACAGCTACGGCCTGGCCTCCATTGATCCTTTGAACAACCAGGCTGCTCACGATGAGCTGGCACAGTCTTACAAGTGCTACAATTGTGAGTTCTGATAGCTGTGAGCTGAGGCGCAGCGCATGGTCTCTATTGGGCAGGAGGGCCGGGGGTGAAATGAAGCAGGCGATGCCGGCGTGCCTGGCAGCGACAAGGTGCTGGCGTCTCCGGCAGCGCATCACAGGCTGGTGACACCCTTTGCAAAACTCGTGCCGCCTTGTTGATCATCTACCCGCGCTTGTCGATTTGCTGCACATTGCACGCTCACGCAGATGGCTCCAGCCCTGAGGCCAGGCTGGTCAGCTCTACCGGCGCTACCACCATCACCAAGTGGCGTACCATCGGCCGCATCTCGCACGAGGCAGCGCTGGTGCGTGTGCGTGTGCGTGTTCGTGTGCGTGTGCGTGTGCGTGTGCGTGTGCGTGTGCGTGTGCGTGTGCGTGTGTGTGTGCGTGTGCAGGTCGCGTGGTTGTGTGTTCAACCGTGCATGCGAGCGATCGTGCATGTCATTGTAAGAGGGAATTTTTGTATGGTTTGTGGGAGTGTTACCTACATGAACTGTGGGGACTGCGTCAATGCATGATGATGGTGGCGGCGTCTGTATTGTTATCCTGGCCTCACCCACGCCTACTTTGCGGTTGCAGTGCTACCTCAAACAGGTTGGTTTGCTGTTGGGCGCTTTAGCCACCAGGACAGATGCCCTTGAGCCGCGCATGCAAAACCCCGCTGCGCCTCACACGCCCCTGCCCTGTATTTGCCTATCACTGCTGATCGCAGGTCATGCCTGACAAGAAGACTGTCTACTCGACTGACGACAACCCCAACGGCGGTGAGCGACCTTACAACCATCCCTCCCTTGCTCTCTCCTGCCCCCTCTCCCCACCCTTTCGCGCGCCACAAGCTTGGGTGACACAGGGTGCGGGCGACCGCAGGGCGCTGTAACAATCCTCCCTCCCACCCCCTTTTTATCCCTACTCCTCCCCTGATCTGTCCTGATCGACCCACCGACAGTGCGTCGGAATGCACACCCTCACAACCAAAAGCACCGCGCTCACAGCTATCGCTCTGCCCCCCTTGAATTTGCTGTTTTCCAAACCCAGTGTGGCTCAAGTTTGTAGCTGACAAGCAACAAAAGCTGGACTCTGGCTCCCTGTACGCCGCCAAGCTGAAGAGCCAGCGCGTGGAGAACGGCAAGCCCACCTGGGACCTGGAGTGGATCCTGCTCGGCAAGGGTGCGCTCGCGCGTTAGAGTGTGTGTGTGTGTGTGCTGAGTGTGCTGTGTGTGCCTGCGCGTGTTTCAGCAAGTTGTGTGCGTGGGGGAGGGGGCTGTCTACTGATGAATACAGCATTAGTTTACAGGGGTCTCGTGCTCCCGCCACACAAAAAAACTGCAGCGCCAGTGGGCAGAAGGGCGCGCCTGACTGTGTGTGCTTGCGTGTGCTCACTCACCGCCCTGTGCTGGCTCCTGCCGGACAGGCGACCAGGCGACTCTTGAGGCCATGGCCAACTCCAACCTGAAATTCAGCGACATTTTCGAGGTGACATCGTCAAGCCATGCGATGCAGCCTGCCCCGAGCTGTGCATGCGGCCACTTGTCGCCAGCCTCCCTCGTCGTCGCTCCATTTCATACCCCCTTGCACCATGACCCTTGGAGTCCCGTTGGGCCGCATCTCCCATACCCTGCTGCACAATACAGCACCGCTAAACCCCAAAACCTCCGCAGGTCGCCACCCCTGTCGGGTCTCCTCCTGCGTGCCCCTCGGGCTTCCTGGCGGCCAACACCGTCAACAACCTGTTCCGGTTCAAGGACAACTCCACCAACACCAACTACTACATCGAGTGCCTCAAGGTGGGCCGCAGAGAGATTTTTTTCTCAGCCAAAATATTTGGTTCTCGACACGTCAGCAAAACCCCTCCCCTGCTCACCATGTAATGATCGTTGCCGTTGCAGTGCAGTCTCACCCCGGTGCTCCTTCACAGCGTCCCTGCCCACCTCATTTGTATCTCTCTCCTGAATCGAGGGATCCCTCAACCTGTCGCAGCACCCACCCGTTTTCTCTCTCTATCCCTCCCCATCCCTCCCTGTTGCCTGTCCCACCCACCTCTCCTGTCGTCAGCGTTTGCCCTTTCTTGCTTGTCATCACCCCCGCTCACATGCTGATCCCTCGACATGCAAACGGCGCCGTGCCGTGCCCCGTCAGGTCAAGCCTGGCATGGAGACGGCGGCCGCGTTCTTCGAGACCCGCCGCTACGCCAGCATGCTCGGCGCCACCGCCGAGTTTGAAAAGCAGGAGGGCATCACCGTGAGCAAGCTCCACAGCAAGGTCTGGTTTTCAACCAGCGTCATCCGCAACGGCATGACCAACTCGCCGGCGTACAACTTCTGTGAGTGGCGGTCCAAGGGGCCTGTCTGGTGCGGCATGCAGAGTCTGCAGGGGCACGGCGGGAGAGCGCGGGTGGACAGGGCCGGGACGGGTTAAGAGGCATGCAGCAATGCCAAGGAATTGTGATGAAGGGCAAACAAGGCTGTTATGGGGGGCACGGCGTGCTCAGCCCCTGAGCTTGCAGGCGCCTGCCCACGCCGCGGTGCGCTCCGCCCTGCGCCCCTCTCTTTCATACCCGCCCTCCCTGTCCTCCTGCCGCCTGCAGTGCGCAACGACATCGACCTGCCTCAGAACAACTGTGGTGGGGTGATGGAGGTTGATCTGGATGACAACTGGTCGGGCACCAAGATTAGGGTGAGAGGGCAGCTGCAAAAGTGGGAGTATACAGAGATCAGACAGGGTCAGCCGCGTGCGCCATGGGGCCACTGGAAGAAGGCCGCGCGCTGCCCCAGGGGGAGGGGGTCGAGGGCGGAGATAAGGCGGCTGCGCATCGAAGCCATGCTTCCAGGCAGCATGCTGAGGGCGTGGTTTGGCGGGGTGCAGGTGCTCACCACCAATCACATGAGAAGTCAATGTGGCGCCCCTTGTTCAATGTCCTGAGGCTCAACCTTGCTGCCTGTTGCACAGATGCTGCTCACTGGTGACAGCGCCGCCAACACAAATGCAAACAATGAGTGCAACCTTGACAACATTGCTGAGCCTGGTTAGTGGTGTGTTTGTGCTGCAGTGTGCGCATGTGCTTTGTGTGTGCCTGTGTGTTGCGAGTGTTGTGTGTGCGTGCGTGCGTGTGTGATTGCGTTGTTGTTGTTGTTGTTGTTGTTGTTGTTGTTGTTGTTGTTGTTGTTGTTGTTGTTGTTGCTGTTGTGTGTGTGTGTGTGTGTGTGTGTGTGTGTGTGTGTGTGTGTGTGTGTGTGTGTGTGCGTGCGTG